CATAACCCTGATTTTACATGCTATTCGATTTGTTTGGCTTTCAGTTGCTTGTAGTCTGTGCATCAGTTAACGAGACCTAAGATGTTGACAGAACATTATATGAGATTTGCACAGCATGAATAAAGCAAGATTGATTCTGAAATAAGAGATATAAAAGATGCTTACAAGCTCTTCATTTAGTTTATCCAAAGCATCATACTTGGTTTTTGAACTCAACCTCTGCAAGAACAAAATGTCACATTAGCAATAGAATTCTCAATCACCAGCAACCAGAAATAGATATTTAAGCATATCATTGAGCATACACACTAAGCTAGCCTCCGAAACAATATTGAAAAATATCAAAATTTACAAGCATACTAGCTGAGAGCCAATAGAAGCTGAAGGAAACTATCAGTCCAATAACTGCAAGCATAAAATTTCTCAGCTTTGACTGTTGAGTTTAAAAATGAAACATAAACTAATTCATGCCCCTTGCAAATATAAAGTTAGCATGAAAATCATCAAAACCAATCCAAAACAACAGCATGAATAACAAAAATGAAAGTACCCATAATTGAAATCACATCAAAATCATAAAATTTAACTCACAGGAAGCTAACTCGGGGAGGGGGGGAGGGAAAGATAACACAGGGAGAGGGAGAGACAGAAGGAAGGAAGAGGAGGGAGAGTGGAGTGGGTCTGCCAGGGGGAAAGAGAGAGAGAGAGAGAGAGAGAGAGGGGTATGCGTGAGAAAGAAGAGAGATTAGAGTCCCAAGTAAAAAAGGATAGTATCAAGAAAAGAGATTACGTTTCCAAAAAAAAAAGGGAGGAGAGAGAAATTTATTTTATTTTATTTTTAGGAGAGAGAAAATAAAATTAATGATTGTTTATTTAAAACATTAAAACTATTTGTCATGTCAGATTTAATCTCAACAATTAAAAGTGGAGTAATCTAATGGCCCAAAAATTGTGTCAAAACTTGTGTCAAAAATATGGTGCCACGGATCCGCCCCCTATATATATATATATTAAATGAGGGGAGCTTTGAATGGAAACTGCCTACGATATCTATAATGAGCGGGACGCAATTGCACCCAGAACATTCTCAGATCCTTTTCATGACAGTTCCAAATCAAATTAAAGAAACCAGTCAATGGACCTATATTTGGTGGTAGTGGAGATACCCGTGACGTTATTTCGAGTCAATCACTTGCAATATGTTTTAACTTTCGGATATGACAATACAACTTTTCAACATGGCAATGCGTAATACTGCATCCTCGTTACATGTAATGCCGGACTAAGATTGAAAATTTTATATTACACGTTTTTACAATCTTTAGTTTGGCTACAAAATAGGACTGAAACCAACAAGACATGACAAGAGCAAAAGATCAATGGTTCAAGAATTTTAAACGAACAAAATATTGAATAAACCATATCTGTTTTCAATATACTCATTGAACGGAATGACCTTTACAAGACCAGAAGTTGTTCTCCATTTCTGCTTACTCAAAAAATACTTCACAGAAATAGGCACCCAAACCACAATTAAGAGAGCAAAACGCCAACACCATGTTTTTTTTTCTCTTCTTCCCCCACCCCAAAAAAAAAAAAAAAACTCTGGATCTATCTTACTATTATAATTACGGAGGGACCCTTGAGTTCGAAGTCCCCAATAGTATTTGCAAACACGGTTAGTTAAGAAAACCTCAGCTAAAAATACACCTCCATCTTCACACGGGTGCTGGACTTGGAGAAGCTCCACTAGAACACTGCTTCTAGATATTGGTTGTGATGCCTCTTGTTGAACTCTAATACGCTACCATATGTGCGATCGGCGATCCCAACAAACAGAGCTTCAGTGTCGGGGCTAAAGGATATCCCGGCAATCTCACCAAACAGATCAATCTCTTGTCCCTTGATGTACCCGGACTGGGTATCCATGATGTGAACAAAGTCTGCTGGCTCAGCCATGGCCATGAACCGGCCATCGGAGCTGAACTTAATGGCTCTTATTGCTCCCATCCTTCCCTTCAACACAGTGAGGGATTCTGAGAGGTTCCTTATGTCCCATAACCTACAAGTAGTGTCTTGATTCCCAGTAGCCAAAATTTGTCCGTTCGGGTGCCATGCAGAGGAAAACGAATAGTCTAAGTGTCCTTTGAGGTTTCCAATGGCCTATGTCGAGTAGGTAATAATAGATCAGAACACTTCATGTGGTTTGGATAAAACAAAATAAATTGGCAGCAAAAAAATAATGCGACTTACTTTTCCAGACTGGGCATCAGCAATCAAGCAGTCTGCACTATCACCAAGAACTGCAACCAGCTTACCGTCTGGACTAACAGATGCGTTCTGCCAAGAACCATAACGAAATAAGCAAACATGAGGAATATAGAAAAGACAGATTGGCACCATAAATAACGGTTTTTGTAGAGGGTACTTACATTTACAGACCAATCAAAGGAGAATTGATTTAGGCAAGCAAAATTTTGGACATCAAAAACTCTAACTTGAGCATCGTTGTTTGCAGCCATTACCCTCATTGACCCACTACACAGAAAAAGTTCATTTATACTCCTTCCAAGTCAAACAACCTATATTGTTTATGGCAGAGGACTTACGTAGGGCTTTGGAAAATGTCCACTGCATTTGTGATGGCATTGTCATCTGTTGTTACTTTTGAGCAGAAAGCAACTCCAGGTTGATTGATGTGCTGCCCAACATAAAAGAAAAATATCAACATTGGGAGAAAAGTGCTACGACAGATTCAGTACACAAATGAGCATTTTATTTGAACATTTCCATATACATTTATCTGAACATTTCCATACCTTACAGATGAGCTCGCCTTGGAAGCCCCCAACAACCAATAAGTTTTCCTTAACAGCCATAGTGCTTATCTGCACTCTAGAGAGTGGCTGAGCCAACAACCCAGGTTGTTTCTGAAAGAAAATACCAACTTAAATCAGACATTTTTTTTAGTCCGGATTTCAGCAATGAAACCTGATTAAAAAAACCAAATGATTCATACCTCAGTAGGCACAATTGGTTTTGATACATTGAGTACTTCTTTCCCTCTCCTGAGCAAAGAGGACCAGTGCATTACTGAAAAGTTCTGCATAAGGTATACATCGTGCTTTGATGTGGCCCATAACAAATTCCTCAGCTGCACAAGGAGAAAGAAACCAAGTAGACGGACATCTTAGTAACAACATTCCGCTATCCAAGAAAGCAAATAAGAATATTAAAACAACCCCATGTCTGTGTATGCCATATGACAAATATGAACTAACGGTATAAAAAGCTGTAGAAGTTACATAAAACAAGTGTCGGAGGTATCAGCTAATTACGAAGTACTTTTCTATTTTGTTTTCTCCCTAGAGTGTCTTTCAGAGATTATGCTTTATTTTATTCCTGGATTATAATTGTGCTATAAGCTTTAACGTCGTGTACAATTCTTTTCTACTCAAAATCTTGTTGCAACTGAGTACCTAATGAACTACTGAAGCCAAAGTATATAAGCCATTTTGTCTGAGTTGATACATAGGTACCCATAAAAACTAAAATCATTAATGTAGTGCTCATAGGTCAGTGGCCAGTATATAAAAACCATGCATCATTTAGCCTTTACTTTTCATAGACCGGAAGAACCCCAAACCCAATGGGAAAAAAAAAAACCAAAATTAAATATATACATATATCACTCCAGGCCGGTATAAGTTTTTGTAAGTTGGAAGACAAAGTTAACTCTAAGGCCCTGAAGTGATGGGTAGTGACATGGAGACATCCCGTGCATATGCACTTCTCCGGGTATGAGACAAAGGCATTTGAACAAATTTCCACTTAGGCAAGACTACAAACAGGTCACTGGGCAAATAAATTTTGGGATTAACATGACAACCACATCAGCCAAGGCAAGTGCATCCAACCATTAAGAAAGTACAGGTAAATGAAACACAATGATCACTCTTTGACCCTCACAGCGAAAGAAAAAACCAACAAAATATGGCAGAACAAATTATTATGACCAATCCAATGACATTCTTAATCACAAAGAGACAGACAGCATATATACTTGAAAAGTAGCAATGCAAACCACCATAACAAAATATACCAGCAGATAGTATGTAACCACATCAACATAAACTTTGGATGACAATAAATAAATGTCAAAGAAATGCAAATGTGATGACCCTGTATGATAAATGCCAAATTAAAGCAAATGTGAAGGCCCTGTATGTCTCTGACAACTCTAGAAAGAATTCAAAGTCTAAGAGAGCAAGGACTGTGTAAATCGGGCCCCGTAGGATCAGAAGTACTGCCACTACTTGCTACAGTGGCCTCTTAAATGCTCAGTTATTTTCCTATCATACCATATAAACAACGTCGCGCCAGCAGCTCTAAGTTCCACCCTGCTTTAAAAGCTGAAATAAAAGAGAGCAATAGCAAGCCTAAATGCAAGAGATGGGTTAAAGTGAAATATTATTGTCAGCAGTCAACAGAAGCAATATATTTACCACCACAAATAAAAAATACAAGGATAACTAACTAAACATTCAAAAATAACAATGACTACGGAATATGCAAAAGAAATGGCATGCGGAAAATCAAGGCACAAAATGCACATGAACCATTTACAAAAATATTTGAATTGTATGAGTAACCACTGTTAACTATGTAAGATACAAAAAGCGAGGGGATCCAATTCATCTTAAGTTTGAACATCAACCATAAAATGCAGTGCAGGTGACAGGTTTTCACAACTAATCTTACACAAGTATACCTTAGTTAAGGGTTAGTTGTTGATAGAACTGACATTTTAGCTCCTATATCACCAAAAAGGTAAAACAGCTAACATACATCTTACTTTCAATTATAGCGGCTGCATAATGAGAAAATCTTTGACATCAGTAATGCAGAATACACAGCAGCGTGTACATGTGCACAGGTGGGTGTGTGTGTCTGGACATGCCTCATTATTTTGAAAAAGAAGGTTCATATCACTAGACGATATATCAGCATTAACACCAGGTTCCGTATCTCTGAGATACCAAATCGTACCATAGCCATTACGCATTCAAAACCCCCAAAATAGGCATTCAAGAATCTCTTTGTGGAAAGGAGCAACAGACAAAATAGTCAATAATGTACCTTTGAATCATGACAATTTAATTAATAAAAAAATTATACAAGCAGATCAAAGTACATAGAACGTAGCCTTTATATGTCTGCTAAAAGGGATCTACTGAATACAACCCAGTTTGATGCCATTATTTGCGGCATTTAGCAGTTCAAAAACATTTTTGTCCTTAGGCCAGTGCACAGAATATATTGATCTGACACTCATCGAAATTAATCCTTCCATAAAAGGTGCAATTAATTTTCTGAAAGGATTCAACTGCAGAAAACTGCCCTCAGAACAAGGTTATCCTTATTACAAACTACTATAATTATAGGGGAAAAAAAGTAGACCAAGAAGGGGTGACCTAAATTATATAAAACTGATTTGGTCGAAATTGATTCTGTTTTTATTTAAGTTAAACAGCAATAAACTATCTTGACAATAAGATGTTCACCTGTTGCCTACAGTTTAAGCAGAACCTTAGTTTAGGTTCATGAAGTACGCCAATTACATCTGAGATGATACAAGATCTAAAATAGGGCCCAACAAAGACAGAACCATTATGAACTCCATACCTTCCAGTGAATGGTTGAGGCACAGAACCATAATCACAAATTAAGATATCCATCATAAAGGATAAAACATTTTTACAAGACCTGCAAAACTACCAAACTAATAATATGCATATAACTGCATTAAAAAACAGCTATAAATGAAATCTTATATCCAGCAGCAATGCACAAAATTCAAAAGGATATAAACTTTATACATACAGCATGCCTTCAATAAGTGACAAAAATAGCTAGGATATTATGATGAGCAATGCCCTTGAATAATCGAATGAATGCATGCAAATATGAATATCAAAAGTAGTTTTAAGAACTTATTGTATCCAAATGATTGCTAAATGAATATGAAGATGAAAAATATGCAAATGTTGCACCATTACACATGGATGAAGTTTTGAAAAAATAAAAACAGGGAAGTAAAGGTTTATGTGAACTCAACATCAAAATATTCCTATGCCTTCAAATAAAGTCATAAACCAATTTTCTTTGAAAACATTTGAAATAGTATATAGAAGAAAGCACAAAATCTCTACCTGGAAATGGACAATTGTAGACTTGACAATCCTTGTATTGTAGTGAAAGTCATAGAAGGTCTTCCCCATCTCTACTTGCAAGCACTCCTGTCAAAATAGTATGTTCAGCAACGAGAAGATTCACAAAACTTACAACAAAAACAAAATTGATCTAGCCGCTATAATGGGTAAAATAATTTCGCTTCACAAAGGACCGACATCAAAACATATGTAAAGATCAAGCCTTGAAGACCAACAAGGCATTTCTAAACCCGAAAAATACAGAACACAGAAGCAGAGGCCACAAAAAAGAGTGAAAAGTACAAAGTAGAAACCTTTTCGAGGTCTTGACGAGGGCGATAGAGGCTCTCGTAGTTCTTGTACTGCTTCAATCGTGTCTCACGATACTTATCTCTGGTGAAGTTAAGCCTCTCCCATGGAATTCCCTGTATGTCTTTCCCGTTTCTAGCTTCCATAGCTGAAGTATCAGTCTTCACCTTGCTCTGCTGCAAATTCACCAAATATCACTCCTTTGGTTGTTTAAATGGTATAGAATTACCAAATTCAACAGGAAAAAAACAGAGCTCAATTACCTCATCAAAGTCGTCCTCAAAGTCTGAGTCGGCATCTTGGCTCCCACGGAGCTGGTTCTCAGCAAAAGCGTCGTTGTCTTCGAACTCAGCGACGTCGAAGTAGTCATCGACGACATACTCCAGCTCGTCGTTCTGAAACTGCGCCATCAACCTTCACACAACACACAGAACCCAGAACCTCACACCATTAATTTTTCAGCTTTTAATTTCTCAATTTCAAATTGAACTTTCAGAATTACAAATTAAAACACCAATCCGATAACCAATGAACAATGGCTGTGTATATAGATCAATTTATACAGCACGAAGCTAAAAAATGAAAACAAAACCAAAGTAAATACCTTGAATTCGGGGAGAAATCAGTTGGACTGGTGAGAAAAACAGTGTGTGTAGAGTTTTCCCAAGAAACAAACAGAAAAAGTAAGCGTTTTTGTTGGCGTGTGAGAGAGAATGAGAGGAATCTAAAATATTGAAAAAGTGAAAAGAGGAGGAATCTGGAGCGAGGTTTGACAAAAGTGCGAGGAACGCTCCAACCATGACGCTCTACTTATAGTCTTATCAGAAGAGAGAGAGAGAGAAACAGTAGGACCCGGAAGAGTAAGCTGGAAGGTGCCGGCGAGCAAGTAAATTGCCACAATGCCATTGTATATTTTTTAAAATATTTTATTTTTTATTTTAAAAATGTTTGTTACCTATTCTATTTCCCTATTTTAAATTATGATTTGATATGCTCCCACTGGGAGAATATAAAAAAAAATTTATAAAAAAAAAATCTTTTTAAGAAAACTGCATGGTCTATTTTCCACCAACTGCAACAGGAGGTCGGCTACGGTTTGGCTGCGCTGTCGCGCGACGACTTCCCTGCCACAGAGACTGACAGCTGTCAGGCAGTCACTTCGACAGTTAACCCTACCGCCATTAAAAATACAACTGGGTCCCTGCCCTGCCACTAATGCAAATCCAAAATGAGATGGAGCCCACCGGAAACAACCTACGGAGTCCACGTGGTAAGCTCACAGCGCGAGCGTCACAGCCTTGGCAGACCCAGCTACCACCACGTGGCACTCGCAGCTGACGGGTCCCACTTACCTCTCTTTCCGCTACGCATACGTTAAACTTCGCTAACGACGTTAAAGAAGAAACGGGGTCGTTTTGTTGTCCTGGTCTGGTTAGTTGAAGGGTTCGTACACCGCTTTCTTTTTGTTAAAAGGTCGGTGTGGTCAGGGTCCCACTGCCACTACAGTCACGCGGGCCCACCATGGAGATTTTGGTTTGGATGAGGTTGTCGGCAATCTCTGATCACTAACCACTAATCAGGAGCATTTTTGCTCACCACCCTAACTAGAGGTGTACCCTCACCACCACCTCCAAAGAGTGACACGTGTCCTATTATTAACCTTAGTTAACTTTTTTGTGGAAATCTGAAAAAATAAATAAACAAGGGGCCCACAGCCTTCTCTCCCCTTCCTTTTTTTCTCTTTTCTTTCTTTTAGCCTCTCCCGACCCATTCTCTCTTCCTCATTCTATATCTCTCCCTCTCCCGACGCCGTACCCGATCCCAAACCATCCCTTCCACTCCATTGTCTCGCTACGGAAGCTCAGGCGCTTCAACTACCTCATCCTCGTCTTCCGAATCGCCTCCTTTAGCTTCTCTCTCGCTTCCTTCATCTTCATGCTCTTCACTTTGCGGCTCCAACTCCCCTCACCATCAGTTTTCTGTCGTTTTTTTTAATCTCTCACTCTGTTTGGCTGCCGAGAAATTCACTGCAATTCGAAAAGAGAAAAAAAAAACAAAAACAGAAAAGGTGAAAGAGAGTAAATAGTTATTTATATTTTTGCAAATAGTGTAAGAGAGGGAGAGATAAGGAACAGAGAATGGGTCGGGAGAGGCTGAAAGAAAGAAAAGAAAAAAAAAAGGAAGGGGAAAAGGAGGAAGGAATGGGAGAGAAGGCTGTGGGCCCCTTATTTATTTATTTTTTTAGATTTCCACATAGAAGTTAACTATGATTAATAATAGGACACGTGTCATCCTTTGAAGATGGTGGTGAGGATACACCTTTAGTTAAGGGTGGTGAGCAAAAATGCTCCCCTAATCAGTATGGTTTGCTTAATACTGCTTCCAAAATCAATGGGTCGTTTTTAACCTTTTTGGTCTCAGGTACAACTCATTTCCCCTGACCACCCCTTTTATCATATTTAGTTCCGAATTTTAAAAGTCATTGAGATTTTTTATTTATTTTATGTTTTTTCATTCTTTGTAAGTTTTTATTTACTTTTTACTCTTTAATTTGGTGGAGAGAATCATATTATATATCACGATAAAGTGAGACGTAATGATACAAATTCAATCAAACGATAATCCACATTAAATTTAAATTCTTTTTAATTAAGTATAGTACAAAAGACAATCCCATTATATGTAGTGACATATCTAGAAATATTGTTCAAGGGTTGACGTATAAACAATGGCGGACTCAGGATTCCTGAGTTAAGGGGTCACAGTGTAAACGTGTAACAGAATTTTAGGAAAAAAATAACATTAAAAAGCAAAAAGATAGTACTTTCATTCAAATCTCCAAAAATTAAGATATGAGTATGACACTTATTTGGCAATTAAAATAGATTTTTTCTATTTAAACCTCATACTTCTCTAAGTTCACCCCAATACTTAAATCATTAAGTTGTAAGTTTTATTATTGTGTAAAATGACAAAAAAAGTCATCAAACTTAATACTTAATCCTAGTACATCTATACACACACTCCACACACCCCACACACCCCACAACTCTTCAAATTAAGTTTAAAAAAAAATACAAACTCTTCTACATCCTATGCCAGACTACTACAAAGAGACATTGTTTTCTACAAAGAGAAAGGGCAGGGAGGGTCCTAATCAAGAAGTCCAAGTCAATTTGGGTTTGATTGTTTGATTCAGTAGAGAAGGAACGAATGTCAGTGTAGGCAGCCATCACAGCAGGGAGGGAAGATCCTAATTACGGATGTCAATATTTGCAAGAACAGAAAGGCCTACATACATACCCTGTTTTGGATGCCGCTGTTTTTGTGAACAGCCCACGAACACTCTCCTCCTTTTCCATTGCTTGACTGATATTCATGGAATTCTCTAAACCTGTAGCTTTCACTCATCCCATTGCATTGCATCACATTATTTGCTTTGGCTTTCTGTCACTGATGGCAATTGCAATGTCATTGGGGAAGAGGTTTCCGAGCACCAAGCCATGCAAGATGGTTGTTATGAAAAGAGCAATGACTGTGATTGTGGCAATGAGAGAGAGTGTAACAGCCAGAGCTTTTGTTACCACATTTGTGACTTCATTTGAGTACCTGATGGTTACACTGGCAGCACCAGTCATTGGAAAAGTATATACCCACCATGCCATAGAAAACCTATAGAACCAAATCTAACTGAATGTCAGAAAAAAAATATTCCTGTACAAAACTACAAACGGTAGATTCAGTTCAGAGAAATGAAAGTGATATCGTACTTAAATCCTCGGAAAAAGTTAACCCGGACTACCTGTGCAATCAGGAAAAACGTTAAAAGAACAGTTAGCGATAACACCAAGCCAGTTCTTAAGTAGTAATGCAACTTAGTTCAGGTTATACTTGCCAGTGAGAGATAAAGGAACAAGGCAATGAAGTAAGCAATCCGTGAACTGTAATCAAAGGAGCCTTGGATTTTTGCCCATGCCATGGAAGCTACACTTGGTGCTGCAACAAACAGAAAGAATACAGGATGGAGGTCCTTTGGGATTACTGTCTCATTAGTTGGAAGTCGCTAATAGAGCGTTACGAATAAAACTATGTAGTGCGCCAAACCAACAGCAAAAAAGAACAGTGGTCCTTCTTTGTGGGGTTTAAATAGAAAATATCTTTTATTTCTTATTTTTTAGCTTTGGGTGTATTTAAGGGTAGTTTGGGAAGATAATGGGGTTTACTTAGAAATTGTGAAAATTTAAATTAAAAGTTGGGGTGAACTTAGAACATGGGGTGAACTAAGAGAAGTGTGAGGTTTAAATAGAAAATCTCATTAAAATAATGTATTTATTAATTTTTATTGTACTAACATAATAGTTAAATATATCGCTAAGGTAAAAGGTTAAAAGTATTTTATTAATAAAAATTTGGGCATACTTCTTTTAAAGACCTACAAGTGATTAATAAAACTTTGGGCCATACTTCTTTATCATTATACATGGCCCAAACTTTTTAAAAAACCTACAAGTTAGTGAAACGGTGAGTTTTAACTAAAATGAGGAATAAGCTGGGGCAACTTCCACGACATCATCTTCTTCACTGCCCCTGCAACCCAAAAAAAAAATCCAAGTCAAGGCAAGCCCACATTGGACTTTCATTGAGCACCTTAGAATACCTCCAGCTCACAAGCCTTGCCAGGGCAACAGGCCCCCTGCCAGCCCGAATCCAACTCCAGCGCAGTCAAATGAGCCCGGGCAAACTCTGGGTCCCATCAGCCTGGGCAAGCCCACGGGCAGATTTTGCTTGGGCTTCAGACCAAAAGCCTTGACGTTAGCGAGCGAAAAAAAATCCAAAAAAATTGAAAAAAAAATGAAAAAAAAAAATTTCAAATTTTTTTTAAAAAAAGTACCAAAAAATTATGGATGTTTTCCTTATAAATACATAACAATTTTATTCACTTTCCACACCAAATCCTCATACAAACTCTTCTCCTTCCAATATTTGTAAATTGCAATCATTTTTTTTCCTTGCATTTGTAAATTTTTTATATTTTCTTTTATATTTATTTTTTTCTTGCATAATTATTTTATTTCTTGCATTTCTAAATTGTTTATATTTTGTTGCATAATTTTTTTTTCTTGCCCTTGCCCTTGCCTTTTGGGGTGGAACTAAAAAAGGCAAGGCTACCACTATTCACGTGAATAGTGGTACCCTTGCCTTGCCTTTTGGGGTGGAGGTGCTCTTACATGCACACAAGGGGTCGCTAAGATGATGGCCAATGGGTTGCTAAGATGATGGCCAAGGGGTCGCTGGTGGAGTCCATGGCTAGATTCTGACATTCCAAGGCGTTTTTTTTTTTTTAATCCCAATGTGAATTCGCCACTGTGTATAGAGCATTTTGAATTGTGTTTGTATTTGTATTTGTGTATGTCACTCGATTAATTAGCTCCATTTTCAGTCATGTAATGAGATTAGCTGCATATTATATACATATAGTTATTCTCTCATCCGAATGTCCGCACGTTGTTATTGTGCAGATGTTATTATAAACAAGGAAGAAAGTAGGAAGAAGTAATATAAAATACATGCGGACATTAATTACCAACACAACCCATTGGATATTAGCGGAGTCTAGATTAAAAGCACACCAAGAGGCTCTCTCTCAAACTTCAAGAATACATAGATAGAAAAAGGTAAAATCATAGGTAACAGATTAATATCAAACAATTCAGCAATGTAATTCTTCTGAGCCAAAAAGAATTCCAACAATTCCTGTCCAAAATAAGAAAGCAACTTTTTACCCGTAAGGCTATTGAGCAAGAAAAGAGTAACATTTTTATAAGTGCATGTGTGTGGGC